GTCTTGCATACTCTAAGCTGTTCCTTCTAGAGGGAGCCCATAAGGTCCAGTGGTGTGGGGACTGTGAGCAGGGGTCCAGTCCAACGGATAGTAAGTCGTTGGTCCCCTTCCACCCACACCTGCCCAGTCCAGCCTACATCTTCTCTGGAGACGAAGCAGAAGGTGAACTTTGTGTTTCTAGGAGATTCTCACCCACCTTTCTACTCTCCAACACTGAGACCACCTCACCTCTTGAGACACCAAACCCAGAATAAACAAGCTGCTGTACTAACTGGGATGCTAACATTCCGTGGTTTAGCTAGTGAGGCTCTTTGGGACTACAGTCACCACGTACCCTGACACCTTGGCAGGTTCAATTTTAAGTCTCCAAAGGTTGAGCCCAGGGTCAGAAATAAGAATAATGGGGGACAAGAGAGACGGAAGTTCTTCTGTTTAGCTCACAATCCAGCAATTCACAAAACAGTCGCCTGGAGGATTACAGAGCCACAAACAGTCCCTTCACCCAGACTATGATTCATACTCCATGAAGACTCCAGGAAGATGACTTGCCTTATACAGGACAATTCTATTAAATAAACCCCAAATCAGCATCCCTGACGTGTCAGACACTGTGCTCAACACTGGGGAACAAGGAAGGGGAAGATACGGGCTCTGATCACGAGCAGCTTACAGAAGCGGAAAGGTTTTGCCATGCGATAGCCCCAAGGACACCAAGACTCCTGCAGATGGCGCTTATACCAAGAGGGGTGTTCAGACTGGCTGGCCGTGGCGGGCTTCCAGGCCAGGGCTCTCTGCAAAGCTGTTCATCAAAGTTACTGGTCTACCAGTGGCTATAGCGCAGCCCAGTTTTAGCTGGAAAGGAGACACATTCACCAGCTGCTTCTCCCCTCTCCAACCCACAAAGAAAGATGCTTTACATATCTGTACTTGTTGTTTCCAGGCTCCTACCCATCCCTTTGCTCACACTCCTTGAAAACTTCAGCATTTTCACAAAAGAAATGGAGGGCAGCAGAAGGATCAAGTGTGATAACAGGTCATCTTTTTGAGAATTCAACTATGAACCCAGCAATTACTGGGCCACAGCCACATGACTCCATGCCGACTAAGAAACCGCTGACTTTAAAAGCCCCACGGCCTTCTTGCCACTAAGAGACAAAAAGCTGCCAGGCGGATGATGGCACAAAGGGGATGCCATCCACCGTGGGAGCCATTTACCTCCAGAGCCATTCAGATGTGAACAAAGATGTGCCTTAGAATCAATTAAAAGTGGTAATTCTGGCTAATCTGTCGAGCCCCAAATGCTTGTTTGCTAGGTGTCAAGACAGGAACGTGGGAGGGTACAGAGTGACTGTCACGGCCTCCTGGCTTCTGGTGGGGAGCCACACTCAACATCTAAACTGCCTCACAAGCCCACAGGCAACCAGGTCCAGCTCCTCCTCAGTTTCACTCCTATGCTTTCCAGGCTAAGGAATGAAAGCCATTTTTCATTCCTTAGAGCTTGGCCCCCTGGCTCCACCATGCTCCCTTTTCTGCCATCCAGCCCAGGGGTGGTGGCTCCATCTCCCCACTGAACCCCACTGCCTGGGCCAGTGCCAGTGCAAATTCTGCAAAAAGCCCAAAGCTTTCACATTCAGGCTTCTTTTCCACTCTCCCGAGCACTCTCTCACAGTGCACATTACTGAACGTTTTTGTTCTTTTACTTCCCCAGTTACATGAAAGATAAAATCATCTATCATGAAGTATAGCCATGAGGTCAAACAATTATGGAGTCCAAAAGGCTTTGTGCCTTGATGTAAAACGATTCAAGATTAACTCGAATGTTACAACTGTCCTGTTTTTTATGAATACTGTTTTTTTCAAGATGTCTTATTCCTAACACCATGTTTTATGTCTGTCTTTTAAAACAAATATTTAATAGCTTAGGAATGTTAGTGAGGGCAGCTGCTCTGGTCAACAAGGCCTCAGTTTGCAATTTGAAAGATGAAATGAGATGAGCTTTATCCACTAAGAAACGTCAAACAGTCTCCAGTGTTGTAAACTCCACATCCATCAAACTGGGCAAAGGCTGGGAACAGAAAGCCTTTCTGGGAAAGAAAACCAGCAGCTACCCTTTCTACCCCGAGGGAGCATGTTTTTAAATAGATATCAAATTAACCAAAATATAAACCAGTTCTCAAATTAGTTCCATTCCAATAAAGCAAACCACACCTTGGTAACTGTGCCACTCAAGAGAGGAGAGTCTGGCCCCTGTGCCTGGAGCCTAGTGTGCGGTCGGGAGTCAAATGCAAGCACCCACATGCTGAAGAATCCATGAGAACACAAAGGAGAAGGTGGGCAGCTGTGCCAGAGTCCACTGACACCAGGCGTGGGGCAGGCGGGTCCCAGTTGGGCCATTTACTAACTGTGACCAGCATGGACCCCAGGCGCATTGTTTTCTTACCTTTAAGGGGCCAGGCCAGCGTGGGTCCGTCCCACAGCCTGGGGGTGTGTGTGTAGGGTTGGGGAGTGGGGGAGTGATACCAGCCCTGGGCAGGCTGCCACTAAAGGGGGGGTCAGGAGGGCTAGGGGTAGCCGGAAGTGCGGCAGGCCTCCGGTCCCTACAGGTTGCCTCCAGCTAGTGGGGGGAAGGAAATGGGCACAGGTTTCCAGGATGAACGGGCGGGGTAGAAGGTCAGAGGCCTCGGCTAGGGGGGGAGTGGCGCGGGTCCCTACCTCCAGTACCGCCGGGGCTTCCCCGTGACCCCAACGTTGCACCTCACCTGCAACAGGCGTCGGGTTCTCACAGAGGGTTGGCAGCGTGCACGGCCCTGCGCGTAGCCCCCTGCCGCGTGTGCACGCACGTGCGCGCCCCTGCGGGCGCGGGAAGCCCCTGGTGGGGGCGCTCTCTGCAAGCCAGGCCACCTTCACCTCTCTTAGCCGCCCCTCAGCTTTCAGGAGCCATGAGTCTAGTGACTGCCGCTTATTAAGTCACTGAATCCACACCCGGGGACCGGGACTTCCATTTTACAAAGTACGCTGAGGTCCCGAGGGAAAGATTGCCACGGGCACAAGGCGGCAGCGGCGTCCAGCTTGGAACGCAGAGCAGGACTGTGACTGCTCTACCGTCGGACCACTTCAAATCCTTCCTCAGTTGAGATACTATTGCACTGTGTGTTGAGAGCACCTTGCTCATCACCACCCTTTACCACCACACCCGTGGTTTGCTTTGCGAACAGATGTCTTGGGAGTTTCTGCGTGTGCGTTGCTTGCACGCGCGCACACACATGTGGTTTGGGGACTGGCAACCCTCAAATTCACCCTCAAAAATCGCGATTGAACCTCCACCCTGTGTCTGGCCCTGAGCTAGGCCATTATACACATTATTGCTCTATCCTTAGTGGGAACTGCATCAATTAAAATCCAGGACTATTCTTCCAGGGAATAGATTTTTAATTAACATTATAAATAATCGATTAGTGATCCTCTTGTGTGGTTCTCTAGGAAGGAGGGCAGTAAAGCTAAACTGAGTCAGCCAGAGCTACAGTTGATATTCTGGTGAGCCATTCCTGAGTGAGTCCCGTTACTTCGGCCAGACTATATATTTTTACTTTATATTGATAGTATAAAATGTTTTTATCATATATTCACATTGTGTATATTTATGTTTATATGTATGTATACCTATTAAAGAAACATCCCATACGCATTTCTTTCTTTGACTATATCCATATGAACATAAAGCAGTGATTCTCAATCAGGGTCGATTTTGTTCTCTAGAGGACACAGGTAATGGCTGAGGACATTTTTTTGTTGTCACCACTGGGGATACCTAATGGTGCAGCTGCTGAACATCCTACAATGCACACAAAACAGCCCCACTCCCATGTCTTACAAAGAATTAGCCATTGCAAAATGTCAATAGTGTTGAAGTTGAGAAATCGTGGCGTAGAAAAAAAGGGGGGGAGGTAAACTTAAAACTGTTGACAACGTTTTCCTTACACATGTATTGTGGAAAGTTTATTTACTTGAGCCTATGTTTTGTCAGGACCTGCGGATTCAAAGGTGACTTGACAATGCATACTGCCCGATTATGGCAGGGCTATTAACAAAGTCCTAAGGAGCCATTTGCAAAGTTGCTCGAGTAGCCACCATGCCTGAGAAGCGCATGGGCAATGGGAGATATGGCAGATGTTTTCAGAGGCCAGGCCACAGACCCTTCTGTAACTCCATTTCCCACTCTCGAGCACCCTGCCCCACCAGCCCCCCTTAATCTTTCCTGGTTAATAACCTCCTGGTGTAGCCACCCCCTCACCCTACGTCACTGAGAGATCTTGTGTTGGGAAGAAATCCTAAGTCTACCTTTCCTCCTTCCCCATCCCTCTTTTGTTCTGCCTCAGGCCTGAATCTCATCATCTGTAATGACTTCATAACCTCAACACCACTGTAACGGGAAAGTGATGTTGGGTAAACTGCTTAAGTTTTTACAGACCGGCCAGTGCAACAAGTTCCCGACGGTTTGTTTATGCACTGGCAGATGAACGAGCATTGTAGTTGAGAAGCGTAACAGTTAACACAGTGGCCTTCAGGAGCTCACTCTTAAATTTAAATAATTTGAGGTCCAACGCGGGCCAAACAACATCCATCAGCAGCTTTCTGCAGACCTCGAGGCAACCGGCACTTTGATCCATCAGCCGCTTTCACCTTTACCAAGCACAACTAGCAGGCCAGAATCACAGGAATGCCAATGCGGTTATCCCAGTCTACGGACGAGGACACCGATCCCACGAATGCAAAACTCCAGCCTTACTACAGCGCAAACAGCCAACGCTTAGCCACTGGGGCCGTAACCGCTCCCACACCTCCCGCTCCCCAGCAGGGGCATGAGTCAGAGCCGCGCGTAGCTTTTCCCGGCCCTCGGCGGATCACGTGACCGGGCACGCTCAGGTCGGGCGGAAGCGGAAGATTGACCTCTAGGAGAAGAGCCCTCCCACCGGAAGTCCCGCCCATCACCGGAATCTGTTCCCGGAAGTTCTGTGGTTGTTAGCGGGCGTGATGGCTTCAAGGTTACTTCGCGGAGCTGGAGCGCTGGTTGCGCAGGCCCTGAGGGCCCGAGGTCCCAATGGGGTCGCCGTGGTGCGCTCCATGGCGTCTGCAGGTACGTGGCCCATCGGGCGCGCCAGGATCTGGCGTCGTTTCTTTCTCGGGGTGGTGCTAGGGTAGCAAACGGGGTCCTCAGCTCGGGACCTCAGTGACCGCCCCATAGCCCCGACTACCTCAGGTCCGCGGACGTTTCCCTGTTGTTCCCGCCCGAGCTCCCTGTCTCCCACCTAACTGACCTCACTGCGAAAGACTCCTTGGCGGAGGTACTGGGTGACCTTGGGGGCGAGGAGCTGCATCCGCAATGCACAGGTGCTAAGCCCATCTCATGTTGGATGAACCCCGTTAGGACTCAAATTGACCTGATTTTAGGAAAATTGTGCGGACAAACAGACATGATAGTTGGAAAAGAAGACTCTGTGTTACTACCACTTTTAGGGATCATGATGTCAGGGACAGTGGTTAGCTGGTGGCAGTTAGGAGTTTGTGCACATCTTCTATCTTGGTTGCTTCAGGCACCTTAATCTTGTTACCTTTCTTCAGGTGGTGTTCCAACTGATGAGGAACAAGCGACTGGACTGGAGAGGGAGATCATGATTGCTGCGCGGAAAGGACAGGTAACCCCCCTTTTGTCTTCTGTGGAGCGCATAATCTTGGATGGGATGAAGAAGTCTCCTCTGGGGGGTGTTTGATCTGTGTCATAGTGGCTCAATTCTTTTTGCAGGATCCATACAACCTGTTAGCCCCAAAAGCAGCTTCAGGCACTAAGGAAGATCCTAATTTGGTCCCTTCTATCTCCAACAAACGAATTGTGGGCTGCATCTGTAAGTACCTCACCACTATTTTCTTATCTGTTTTATTACATAGGATGTCTGTAAGCCACTTCACATTTTGTGAGTGTACATGTGCAGGTAGCTTTTGTAAGGGTGCTGGTCCTCTCAAACTTTGTTAGACTGGAGTAGGTCATCCTTTCATAGAACATTAATGAGTTGGCAATGCTGCATGAAAGCTTATTTATCCAGAAAATATTATTTTATATCACCTCTTTATCAGACATCATTTTAGGCATTAGGGATACATAACAGAATGGACCCTACTTTGGGATTCTATAAAGCCAGGGAATTGTTAGAAACTGTAGAGACTCTGATATGAGGTAAATTTCCTTACAGGTAAACCCAGGACCTCAATTTTAATGTCTTCATTGAAATTGAAAAATATACAGGAAAGCTTGAGTTGATCTTTAAGATGCTATCACTTTGTGTCTTAGAGGTGTCTAAGAAAAAAGATTAATGTTGAAAGTCTCTTGTAGGCCAGATGGCTTCCAACCACCTTTTGTCTTTCAGGTGAAGAGGACAACAGTACTGTCATCTGGTTTTGGCTGCACAAAGGCGAAGCCCAACGATGCCCTAGCTGTGGGACCCATTACAAACTGGTGCCCCACCAGCTGGCCCACTGAGCCTCTGTACTAACGTACTCAAAATGTGCTGTAAAGTTTCTTCTTTCCAATAAAGGTTAGCCATTGCATTGGCTCCATCTCCCATAGTTGGCTAGTCTTATTTCTTTCCTGCCTTTTTGGAGAGACATAGAGATTGTAATATTTATATAGCTGTTGTGAATTTATGTAGCTGCTGTTAAAGCAAACTCTTGTTTGCTTGCCATCCACTTGTGCACTGAAGTCGACAAGCTCACAGTGCAGCTGGGCTTGCCTGGTATAGGGGAAAGCATGGGCTGGAGTCCGAATGACTAGACTTAAAACAGTGGGTCCATCATTTAGCTTTGTCACTGGGGCATGTTCTCAGGGTGGGTTACATCTACCAAAAAAGATAAATACTTGTGAGGTCTTAGATACACATTATATAAAGAGGCTGGCCAGTAGTAGGTCCCTCCCAGTGTTAAAAAGATAGGGTGCCTTGTATTTGGGGACTTTGAAGATTACCCAGGTTTAAAGACCTGTTTGTGGGGAATACCATCAGTAAATCCAGACTATGGGACAATTTCAGAAGCTAATGACCAAATTAATTCAGCAAATAAACTTTTTTTTTAAAAGATTTTCATTTATTTATGCATACAGAACTGCAGTACAGACCAGAGGTGCAGGGGCGGTTAGAGGATTCACCAGAGATAGTGTGGGGAGCAGAACAGGCAGATCAACGAAGTACACTGCTGAGGGGAGCAGCGGGCTGGTCAGGAGAGGTCTGCCGTGCCATGTGGTCACCTCCTGGACGGGCGGGGATTGAACTCATGCTGAAGTGGCTTTAGCTTCTTAGTGCTGTGCTTTAACCTGCTGTGCAACCAGAGAGGGCCCAGCAGCAAATTTTTTTTATTACAAAGTTTATTTTTACATCATTTTGCACATTTTTTTCCATCTTGATTGCAATCCCCACGGGCTCCCCATCACCAAATCACCCCTGTGCCACCACCATGGTCCCGTGCATTTCCCTCCCTTCCCCTCCCCCTCCCTTTTTGATCCCATTCCCCACTCCGCCCCCACAAAATGTCTCTGGTATATGGCTGTTCATTATTGTTATTTTCTCGCCTGGTCCGTTATACTCCTGCTATGAGTGAAACCATCCGGTATTTTTCTTTCTCTTTCTGGCTTATCTCACTAAGCATGATCTTTTCCAGCTCCATCCAAGTTGCTGCAAAAGACATGTGTTTCTCTTTTTTGGTTGCTGAGTAATATTCCATTGTGTATATGTACCACATCTTTCTAATCCAGTCATCTACTTTTGGGCATTTGGGCTGCTTCCATGTTTTTCCAATTGTAAATAAAGCAGCAATAAACATGGGGGTACAAGTATCTTTTTCAATCTGTTTTTGTGTCTTTTGGGTAGATACCTAGGAGTGGGATTGCTGGGTCGTAGGGAAGCTCCATGTTTAGCAGTTTGAGGAACCTCCAGACAGTTTTCCATAGTGGTTGTACTAGTTTGCATTCCCACCAGCAATGCAGGAGAGTTCCTTTTTCTCCACATCCTCGCCAACATTTGTTGTTGCTAGTTGTTTGAAGATGTGCCATTCTCACTGGGGTGAGGTGGTATCTCATTGTGGTTTTAATTTGCATCTCCCTTACTACGAGTGATGTTGAACATTTTTTCATATGCCTGTTGGCCATCTCCAGCAGCAAATTTTAAGGAGACAAATTAGGAAGACTATTAAGAGTTAACAGATACGAGGAAATAGCAACCAAGCAATTAGTGGACTTTGGGTTTTGATTAAAAAAAAGAATTTGTGATATTTGATACTCAGAAATTAGATTTCTAAGTTGTTAATGGAATTGACGTTTTATGTTTTAGAGATAGTAGCTTTAAAACTGGGAGGAAGAGTGGTGGTTTGAGGTTTGATTGATCCACTGTAATTAGGTACTTGGGTCAATGTTCTATTTTTTGTGTACTTTTGAACTTTACCATAAAAAATAGACTTTGAGAGGTGAGAAACAAAGTCCCATTCAGCTTTCTGGTGGTGCTTCAGGTTAAAACACTGCATTATAAAGCTTTCTGAAGCCATTGTAGCATGAGTTTGATCTTCCACCAGGGAGGTGACCCATATGGCACAGCAGACAATCTCCTGACCCGCCCGCTGTTACCCTCAGTGGTGTACCTTATCAGTCTGCCTGCTCTGCTTCCTACTCTTGTCTCTGGTGAATCCTCTTGCCCACCACACCTCTGGTCTGTACCTCAGTTCTGTAAGCATAAATAAATAAATCTTTAAAAAAAAAAGTTCCATTCAGTTATTTCATACTTGTTGACACCTTGGACAATTTGAGGTTTTTTTTTTTCTTAAAGATTTTACTATGGACAAGAGCTGGGGTGCAGGCCAGAAGTGGGGGGTGGTGAGAGGATTTGCCAGAAACAGAGTGGGGAGCAAACTGAAGGGAACAGCAGGCAGGTGAGACCTGAGAGGTCTGCTGTGCCATATGGGTCAGCCCCCTGGCTGGGGATCAAACGTGGCTGCTGATGGCTCATAGCCTGAGACTTAACCCCTTCCATCACCAGAGAGGCCCTGACAATTGAGGTCTTAAAAATTTATGACTTTAGCTACTATCACCACAAGATTGGTTCAAAATAGGTCTTTCAGTTGAACTGATTAGAGAGTCAAAGAGAGAATCTTCTTTCCCCTAGCCTTGCTTCTCTCCTGTACAGTCAAGGCTATTGTATTCTATTCCTTGTCTGTCAGTCATCTCGTTTTCAAGAAATATTCTAGCATTTCTCTGCCATTCAAAGGCCTATCTTTTGGGAAGGGAACCACCTAGATAGCCTCGCTTAAACCTAACCCCTGCTACTCTTACCTTAAGTGCTGTCTGAACAAGTTTCCCAGTCAGTAACATGAATCTATTTTGGTGCTTTTCCTTTCCATTTCACTGTGGCCTTTTGCTTTTCCTTTCCATTTCACTGTTGCCCTTTCTATCAAAACTCCACTTAGGGTGAGTTTTTGACTCCCCACATCATTAATGTGGTCTGTTTTCTCAGCTTCAGACCCATAGGTGCCCATGTCCTAATGCCAGAACCTGTGAATATGTTAAGTCCTGTAGTAAAAGATTGCAGATGGAAGTAAGGTTGCTAATCAGCTAACCTTAAAATAGGGATTCTACAGGCCTGGATTACCTGGGGAAGATTATCTGGGCGGTAGAAGTCAGAGAGACGTGAAGATTGAACAATGGTTGGAGAGCTGCAGTATTACTGGTGTGAAGATGGGAGATAGGGGCCATGGGCCATGGGATACAGGCCACCTTTAGAAGCTGGAAATGGCAGAATGATTCTCTCGAATTTCCAGAAGGAAACAGTCCTGTTGCCACTTTTATTTCAGCCTAGTGAGACTCAGCAGACTTCTACAGAACTGTAAGAAATTTATATTGTAGGTTACCAAGTGTGATGTTATTTTCTATGGCTAAAATAGATCAGTAAACTCAGGTAGTTTCCTGAGTCCGTGGTGCTCAAGTTCAGCTGTGCATTAGACTCAGCTGGCAGTGCTTTTGTTCTCAATGCCCAGGTTCACACCCAGTCCAGTTAAGTCACTGGGTGTGAGACATGGTATGAGAATGAGTTCCCCCGGGGATTCCTGCCTGCGGCTAAGCCTGAGCGCCTCTGCTTCACACTAATTGCCTCTGCTTCACACTAATCGTTTAAGCACAAGTAATAAAAGCCTTTTGATAACTGGGGGCCCTTAGGGCAGAAAGGAATTTAATGTCATCCCACAGGGAGCACCCACCTTTGCTTTTGGGTTAGTGGTGGGTTCCATCTGAACCTCTGGCCATTTAGCAGCTTAGAAATTGGATCCACATCTTCCCTCACTAGGGAAGGATACTTCACTTTTATGGTATTTATTAAAACAATTGCAAGGTACAGAGCAGCTTTTTTTCTGAAACCATTTGAAAATAAATTGCTGACTTGATACCCCCATCAGTGTGTGTATAATATGACCATCCAAATCAGAAGTTATAGTTGGAACATTTCTACCACCTAATCCTCCACCCTATTCAAGTACTAATTATTCAAAAGTTCCTTTGGAGAAAGGATCTGGTAGAATCATCGTTGCCTTTAGTTGTCATGTCCATTCAATCTCCTTGACTCTGGAGCAGATACTGTTTTCCCTTTACTCGTCTGATGTTGGCACTTGAAAATTACACAACTTGGGTTTGTCTGTTTCTTTTCCTTTCTTTTCACATTTTAAAAGGATAGGTTTCTTAGGAAAAGATGCTTGCACAGATGTAAGTGGGCAGGAAGTTGCCAATGCTACTTTGCTTTGCAAAGGGAAAAGGTTTGTCAAAAGAAACACCTGCGTAGTCACAGGTGGGCAGAGCTGCCTGGTGTGTTTCTCACAACTGAGTATCACAGGAGATGTGTGCTTTTCTTGGGCAGGAGCTTCCTGCTATTTGTCCTGCCACTGACAACTTTCACTTAGGTCACCAGACTAAGCCAAAGCTGCCAGTGTCCATTGAAGAAGCTCTTCCTGAGGGAACTTACACTTCCAGATGCCAGTAATCTGTTCTAATCAAACTTTCTATATTTATGTGGACTCAAACATTTTTTTTATTGTCATCAGTGGGTTTTAATTCAGAACTACCATTATTTTTTGATGTCTAATGTGTTCCAAATTTGTCAGTGGGAGCTTTTGTGGCCTTTTGACATGGCCCCAACATTCTTTGAGCACTTTTTATTTTCTGGCACAAAATGTTCTAGGCTCTTCTTTCAGGCTGTTAATAAACCAGTGAGGTAGGTGCTATTATTATCACCCCCATATTAGAGATGGGGAAATTTGGGAACAGTTCAGGATCATGTAGCTAGTTACACTGGCAGGACTGTGAACCAGATCACTTAACTCCAGCCTGAGCTCTTTACTCCCCAATTTTTTTATGGTGAAATAATTTTAGAATTACAGAAAAGCTGTACAACTTGCACAGTTCCTGTTTCCCTTAGTGTTTACATCTGACATTCCCATAGTACAGTGGCTGAAGCCAGGGAACTCAGAGTGATGCAGGACTGTTAGCTAATTTGGTTGCCTTTTCCAGGGAGGGCCTTTCTGATCAAGGCTATCACACTGTATTT